TAAAAAGCCTGGCCACTCTCTACCAGAGAAGCTCCAAAAGGATGGCTGGATCTTGCTAAGTGCAAATTTAAAGACTTTGAGAAAGTCATTTTGGTTTCTAGCCACAAACTAGCCTGAAGAAGCTGGTTTGTGGCTTGTGGAAGGGGAACAGGGCTCTCTACTCCCCCAAGAACGTTGCCAGACCTGTGAGTCGCAGGTTTAAGAACCAGAAGTGCCCTGGTTCATCCCAGATGAGGTTTCCACCTCTTGCTACCACCCCGCTGCGGGGATGAGGACAGCGACCGGTTCCAACCCTGCACATTTCTTGTTCAGCTCACATTTTAAACCAGCAAGGCAAGAGAAACCTTCAGCCATCAGAGGACTTCAGGACCTTCCCCTTGACACTCACCAGCTCCAGTTCTAGTCATCAAACCAAATCTAACCAGAAGATGTTTACGTTCCCACAATATCTTGCCTCCCACGTGTGCCAAATGGCGTTGATGAGCTACCTTCGCCTTGCCCAACACCAGATGCAGCAGAGAAGTGGGTGCCTCCGCCGGGGAGATGCTATCCTCCCCCTTCGCCGGCACGGTCCTGACTAAAGGAAGGTATTTCAGGCCCCCCGCCCCTCTGCGCCCCAGCAGCCGAGTCCGGGGACCCGCTGCCACCCCCGAGGTGTGACCTGACTCATGGCTCAGGCTCTGGAAACACAAGGGATCGGAGTCAAACTCCCCCTGGCACCAGCCCCTCTGCTCCCCGACCCCATCGCAGCACCCCTTTAACACAACCCTGTCCTGCCTCCCCGAGCCCCTCTGCTCCCTCTAACTGCCCTTTTCTCGGGGGTTTCAAACCCCCTGGGCCCCCACTCGTGCCTGGAGGGTCCTCGCTACACACCCACAGCCCCCTCCCCAGGAAAAGCTCAGCCCTACACCCACCTCCCCCAGCGAAAGGTCAGCCCCTGCCCACCCCACGGAGCCCCGGCCCACCCCACAGAGCCAGCTGGGCTCTGTGAAGCCCACCCCACTCGGGGCTCGGCCCGTGACCCTCCGGAGAGCTCAGCCTCCTCAGCCCGTCCTCCGCGCCCCCCAGGCCCGCCTCCCTCCCCGGCTTCACCCCCTCGCACCAGCCGACCTCCCACGCTCGCCCCCGGCCCGGCCCACGAGCCCCTCCCCAGCCCACGGCCTCGCCCACCTCCTCACCCCACGCAGGGCCCGGCCCAGGCCCCATCTCCCTTCCGCTCCACACCCAGACCCCCGCACCCCACAGGCCTCCCACCCCCCCCCCAGCTCCTGCCAGCCCCGCGCACCCCACGGCCCCACTGCCCTCCCCACACCCCTTACCCCTCACGAAGAGCCCGCCCCAGCCCCACACACCCCACGGCCCCACTGCCCCCCCCACACCCCTTACCATCCCTAAGGAGCCCCCCCCCAGCCCCGCGCACCCCACGCCTCGCCCTCCCAGAGCCCTCCTCAGCACTACACCCACACCCCCCCGCCGCACATCGCACACCCCCCGGCCCCGGGCGCGGCCCCGTACCCGCCAGGCCGCCGCTGCTCCCGCTGCTGCCCCCCGACTCGGGCCCCGCCGCCGCCATCTTGAAGCGCTCCCTCCTCCTGCGGCGGCCGCCGGCTCGCGCGCGGCGCCCGCGCCCCTCCCCGCGTGGCTCCGCCCCGCCCCGCCGGGCCCCGCCCCCCCGGACCGCACCATCCGGCCTCGGCCGGGGGGAGGAAAACCGGACACGCGGAACGCACGCGCAGTCCAAGCGTCTAGGCCCCCCCCCCCCCAACACACTTGGACTCGCCGTTGCGGACGCGACCACTCGGGACGGAGAGGGAAGGGGGGGGGGGAACTTTCAGGGCATATGCGCGAGTCGGGCCAAGCGCAACCAAAACAAAGCCGTTGGGTCACGCGGCGACGCTATTTTCCCTATTCCTTCCCCAGGGCGTAGCCGTACTGTGGGGGGCTCAGGGGCGGGCGGATAGGCATGGGGGAGAGTGCTCCCGTGACGCCACGTTCCGCTGGCGTCAGTGCGGTCCCGCTCCCGTGCGGCTGAGAGCCCCGCGGGGACGCACCCCCGGTTTGTGTGTGTGTCCCCCCCCCCCCCGCTCCCTATGGAACCGCCCTCGCCCATGGGGACCGGCAGTGCTCCCCCCCCCCGGCCCGCAAGGGGGCGCCCGCCGCCATCGGCCGCTCGGCGCTCGCTCTCCCCTGCCTGGCGGGGCCGAGGCGGGCCGGGCAGGCCGCGGAGCGGATCGCCGATGGCGGCGGCGCGATGAGCCTGGCGGAGGGTCGCGCCCCGCGGCGCACGGCCGGGAACCGGCTCTCGGGGCTGCTGGAGGCCGAGGAGGAGGATGAGTTCTACCAGACCACCTACGGCGGCTTCACCGAGGTCTCGGGGGCACCTGAAGCGGCCTGGACCAGGCTGGGGGGGGGGTCTCGGTGGCCCTAAGGGCGAGCGGGGTCCTGGTGCTGTGAGGGGATGGGGGCGGGGGAGGGTGTCTGGGGGTCTCCAGGGGGGTCCGTGGGGAGCCCCGGGGGGGGGTGTTTGGGGGTCCCCAGGGGGGTCCGTGGGGAGCCCCGGGGGGGGTGTTTGGGGGTCCCCAGGGGGGTCCGTGGGGAGCCCCGGGGGGGGTGTTTGGGGGTCCCCAGGGGGGTCCGTGGGGAGCCCCGGGGAGCCCCAGGGGGTGGGGGAGCTCCAGGGTGGGTGTTTGGGGGTTCTCAGAGGGGGTCCATGGGGAATCCCAGGGAAGTGGGGGGGCTCTGTGGGGGGTGTTTAGGGGTTTCAAGGGGGTGGGGTGCCCCGGGGAGATGGGGATCACTGGGGAAGGTGCAGTGGGGGCTGGGGGTGTCCGGCCCTTGGAGGAGTCACCCCCTCCCGGCCCTGGTGATGAGGGTCCTGGGGGGTGTGGGAGGGTCCCGAGGGGCTGACCCAGCCCCTCTGTCCCCGCAGGAATCGGGCGATGATGAGTACCGGGGCGACCAGTCGGACAGCGACGATGAGGTGGACTCAGACTTCGACATCGACGAGGGCGAGGAGCCCGCCAGCGACCAGGACGAGAGCGAGCCCAAGCGCCGCCGCCGCGTCGTCACCAAGGCTTACCGGGTGCGGGCGGGGGGGCTCCGGGGGCAGGGAACGGGCTCCCTGTCAGGAAACGCCGAGGTTTAAACGAGGCCGAAGCTGGGGGGAGTTTGTCCCCCTCCTCACCTCCTCTGCCCCGTCCCGTAGGAGCCCCTCAAGAGCCTTCGCCCCAAGAAGACGGACGTCCCCGGCGGCAGCTCCCAGAAGCCGCGAGAGGTGAAATCCGTCCCCTTGGAGCTCCAGGATGACGTGGGAGACAGTGAGTGCACGTGGGCTGGGACGGGACGGGACGGGACGGGACGGGCTGAGCTGGCAGCAGGGTCCCCGCCGGCGGAGCTGAGCCCCGTCCGCCCCGCTGCAGGCAGGAAGCACATGCGGCAGTCGACGACGGAGCACACGCGCCAAACCTTCCTGCGCATTCAGGAGCGGCAGGTCCAGTCCAAGCGTAAGAAGGGCGGCCCCAACTACGACCGGCCGCTGACGCAGGAGGAGCTGCTGGAGGAGGCCAAGATCACGGAGGAGATCAACCTCCGCTCCCTGGGTGAGCCGGGTGCCGCGCCGAGGGGCGCCGGGACCCCCAAAACGGCGCGGGGACGGGGGGTGAGGGGGACAGTGAGGTGCTGAGCCTCCCCCCTCGCTTTGTCCCCGCGTTCCCAGAGAACTACGAGCGCCTGGAAGCCGACAAGAAGAAGCAGGTCCAGAAGAAGCGGAAGTGCGTGGGGCCCGTTATCCGGTACTGGTCTGTCACCATGCCCCTGGTCCCGGAGCCGGGCAAGGAGGAGAACGTGGACGTGGAGGGGTAGGTTGGGGTCACCTCGACGTGGCCCCGGTGGGTTTTTCCCTCACGCCCAACCCTGATCCCTCCCCAGGCTCTGCTCCCACACAGTGAGGGAAAAGCGGGTTTTGGGCAGCACCCTGGAGCCCCCCCCAGCTCCCCCTCTACTCCTGGGGGGTCAGCTTGAGATTTGGGGGCTCTGCCCACCCTGGGAACGCTGCCGGGGGTCTCCTGGGCACTGACTGTGGCTCTTCCAGGTTGGACCAAGACCCGCAGCAGGCGGAAGCAGCTCCGGCCCCGGCTCCGGCTTCCGCCGGGAAATGCTCCCGCACCTTCATCTCCTTCAGCGACGATGAAACCTTCGAGCGTTTCTTCCCCAAAGTGAAACCGCCGCGGCTGCCGGTACGCGAGATCTGCCCCGTCACTCACAAACCGGCCGTTTACCGCGACCCCATCACCGACATCCCCTACTCCAACATCCGCGCCTTCAAAATCATCCGCGAGGCCTACAAGAAATACATCACAGCCCACGGGCTGCCCAGCGCCGCCGCCTCGGCCGCCCTGGGGGCCGCCGCTCCCCCCGGCCCCGACCCCAACGTCCGTCCCACCCGCCAGAAGATCATCATCAAGCAGAGCGTCCCCACCACCTGAGCACGGGGGGGGGCATTATTTATCTCCTTCCCACCTCTTTTTTTTTTTTTGTACAAAAAAATAAATAAATCCGAGTAACCTGCCTACAGCAAGGGTGCGGATTCTTAGTTCCACTCAACGCGCGGCGACAGCAGGAGACCCTACAGTAAACACAGGCTGCGTCCAACCCTTTTTTTTCCAAGAGACCCTGCAATAAACAAGCAGTTTGGCCACAGCGCTGCTGCTCCAAGTGAGGGTGGCCCCACGCAGACACCTGAATAGGATTCGGGGGGCTGCAGGGTGGGTGAGAGCCAAGTCACCCAGACGCTTTTGGGGAGAAGGGGCATAAAATGTCCCTCAGGGGGCCGGGGGGTCCAGAGGGCCCCGGGCACAAGGTTCAGGCTCTGTCCCCAACCAGGGCAGCCCATGGGGGAAGGGGGAGTCCCGAGGGGCCCCCCCACGGCCCTGGGGTGGGGCCAGCGTGGGGCTGGGGCCAGCGTGGGGCTGGCAGCGCTCGATAACGCCCGGGGATATGTGATCTCGCCCCTCCCCGCCGCCGGCTCGCAGAATAAAACGCTGATCTCATGCCCTGCGCGGCCGGAGCCCTTGGCTCAGCACCGGGGCTCGCACCCAGGCAGGCTCCGCCGCCCCAGCCGCCGGCCAGGTAATGGGGGGTTCCCGGGGGGGGGGTCCCCAGGGGGGCAGGGGCTGCATCGTCACCAGGGACACCGGCCCCCGGGTCCCTGGGTGCTGTCAGGGATCCCCTCTCGGAGGGATTCCCCCCCAGTTCTTGCCCCTGGGTGGCCAGTCCCTCCCGGGGGCTCAGGGTGCGTGGGGACCCAGGGGTGGGGGGGGCAAATCCCAACCTGGTTGCTTGGGGGGGGGGACCCGACCCTGGTGTTGGGGGACTCGCGTCCTCAGCATTCACCCCCAGGGAGCTGGGGAGGTGTCAAGTGACAAAGGGGTGCTGGAGGTGGGGGGGCCAGGGCTGCTGAACTGGGATCTGCCCTCCAAACAGTGGTGGGGGGGGGACTGGGAGGGGGGACACACATGCTGGGTCCTGGCTCCGGAGAGCACCTTGGAGGTGTGACCCCCCGGCCCCCCCACCCTGGGGTGCCCTGTGGCCCCCCCAGCCCAGGGGGAACCCAACACCACCATGAAGGGGTCACCGTGATGGGGTGGGGGGGGTCCCCTTGCAGTACAGGGCATCCCCCCACCCTGGGGAGCCTCCTGCCAGCCGCTCAGCCCCCCCATCATCGTGTGTGTCCCCCCCCCCAGCCCCCCGCCATGACGTCCTACCGGCAGGAGCTGGAGAAGTACCGGGACATCGACGAGGACAAGATCCTGCGGGAGCTGTCGGCCGAGGAGCTGGAGCAGCTGGACGTGGAGCTGCTGGAGATGGACCCCGAGGTGGGTCCTGGGGTGGGTGGGGGGGGGCACGAGTGAAATGGGGTCCCCCGTGGGTGACATGGTGGGTCCCCCAGAACATGCTGCTGCCGGCGGGGCTGCGGCAGCGGGACCAGACGCGGAAGAGCCCGACGGGGCCGCTGGACCGCGAGGCCCTGCTGCAGCACCTGGAGAAGCAGGCGCTGGAGGCCGGCGAGCGCGATGACCTGGTGCCCTTCACCGGCGAGAAGAAAGGTGGGGGGACCCGGGGCGGGGGGGGGGACACACACACGGGGGACACTGCGGGGACCATGGCGGGGGGCAGGGGGGATGGGGCCCCACGGCGCTGGGTATATTTAGCTCGGCAGAACGGTCCTCGCCAGCGGCTCGGGTGTCCCGGGCGAGCTGGGTCCCCGCCAGCCCCGGGCACGGCCACCCCCCTGGCAATGTCACCCCCCCAAATGGCCACCCCCTGTAATGTCACCCCCCCAGTACGGCCACCGCCGGCACTGCCATCCCGCTGTGATGCCACCTCTAGCGCAGCCACCCCCGGCAGTGTGTGTGTGTGTGTGTCCCAGTATGGTCACACACCCCTCCCCGCACTGTCACCCCCCGCGGTGTCACCCCCCCCCCGGCCACTGTGAGCCCGGGGCAGGGTGCGACCCGTGTCCCCACGCCCAGGGAAGCCCTTCGTGCCCAAGAACCCGACGCGGGAGATCCCACGGGAGGAGCAGATCACGCTGGAGCCCGAGCTGGAGGAGGCGCTGGCCAACGCCACCGAGGCCGAGATGTGCGACATCGCCGGTGGGTCTCGCCCGGGGCAGCCGTGTCGCACCCCCACCCCGCACGGGGCAGCCGTGTCGCACCCCCACCTCGCACGGGGCAGCCGTGTCGCACCCCCACCTCGCACGGGGCAGCCATGTCGCACCCCCACCTCGCACGGGGCAGCCGTGTCGCACCCCCACCCCGCACGGGGCAGCCGTGTCGCACCCCCACCTCGCACGGGGCAGCCGTGTCGCACCCCCACCTCGCACGGGGCTGCTGCGTTGCACCACAGCTTTGCACAGGGCAGCCGTGTTGCACTGCAGCCTCGCACGGGGCAGCTCTGTTGCACCACAAACTTGCACAGGGCAGCTGTGTTGCACCACAGCCTCGCCCGGGACTGCTGTGTCGCACAACCACCTTGCACGAGGCTGCTGCATTGCACCACAGCCTCGCCCGGGGCAGCCGTGTCGCACCACAGCCTCGCACATGCCACATTGCAGCCTGGCACGGGGCAGCCGTGTCACACCACGGCTTTGCACAGAGCAGCCGTGTCGCACCACAGCCTTGCACAGGGCTGCCCCGTTGCACCACAGCTTCGCGTGGGGGTAGCGTGTCCCACAACAGCTTTGCACGGGGGCAGCACGTGGCGCCGCAGCATTGCCTGGGGCAGGGGGAAGCACATTGCACGGGGCCAGTGATACGCTGGGGTAGCTGGCGTTGCACGCTCGCCCCAGCCCCGTGTCACACCCGTGCTCCCCGCTGCCAGGCGTGTGCCGGGCCCCCCCCCCCCCGGCCCCCCCTGGGTCCCCGCCAGGTCCCAGCTAAAAGCAGCGCCGTGTCCCCGCGCTCGGCTTTCACCGCTGGCCCCTGGCCCACCCGCTCCCCCGGCCACCCCCCCCCCCCCCCCCAGGGCTGGGGGGGCTGCGACCACCCCCAGGGGGGCACAAAGGGACCAGGGGGGGTCCAGGGGCACTTGCTGACACACACACCCCCCCCCGGCCCTGCAGCCATCCTGGGCATGTACACGCTGATGAGCAACAAGCAGTACTACGACGCGATCTGCAGCGGGACCATCTCCAACACGGAGGGCATCAACAGTGAGTGCCTGGGGACACGGGGACAGGGGACACGGGGACGAGCTCCCCCAGGACAGGGGGACAGGGGACACGGGGACGAGCTCCCCCAGGACAGGGGACACGGGGACACGGGGACGAGCTCCCCCAGGACAGGGGGACAGGGGACACGGGGACGAGTTCCCCAGGACAGGGGACACGGGGACGAGTTCCCCCAGGACAGGGGACACGGGGACAAGCTCCCCCAGGACAGGGGGACACGGGGACGAGCTCCCCCAGGACAGGGGGACACGGGGACACTGGGACGAGCTCCCCCAGGACAGGGGACACGGGGACGCTGGGACGAGCTCCCCCAGGACAGGGGGACAGGGGACACGGGGACGAGTTCCCCAGGACAGGGGACACGGGGACGAGCTCCCCCAGGACAGGGGACACGGGGATGAGCTCCCCTGGGACAGGAGACAAGGGTTTCAGGGGGGATTTGGGGACCAGAACCCCTCTGGGATTCCCCATAGCGACCCCACCCACACGTGCAAACACGTGTGTTTCCCCCCCCTCCACGTGTCTGTGCCTGGTCACGTGCGTCCCCATGCACACGCGTGTGCCCCAGGCGTGGTAAAGCCCGACACGTACAAGCCGGTGCCGGATGAGCCCCCGAATCCCACCAACGTGGAGGAGACGCTGCGGCAGATCCAGGCCAACGACGGGGCTCTGGAGGACGTCAACCTCAACAACATCAAGGTGAGGGACCCGGTGGCAGTGTCCCCAGGGTGTCCCCAGGGTGCTAATCCCAGTCCTGGGGTCCCCATCCCCACGGGGCTGGTCCCTATCCCAGGGTGTCTCCAGGGCACCCCAAGGTGCTGGTCCCCGTGCTTTGGGGCATCACGCTGGGGCTGGTCCCTGTCCCAGAGTGTCCCCAGGGTGACGGGTCCCACGCTGGGGTGTCCCCATGGGGCTCGGTCACCCTGTCCCAGGGTGCTGCTCGCTGTCCCAGGGTGTCTCTGGGGGGCTGGTCTCTGTCTTGGGGTATCCCTGGGATTTTTGTCCCCGTCTTAGAGTGGCTCCAGGACACCAGTCCTCATCTGGGGGCACCTGTGTCCCTTTGGTGACATCCCCCATCCCCTCAGTGATATCACCTCCCTGGGGTGACATCCAGCACCCTCTTGGGGTTCTCTACACCCCCTCGCTGCCACTTACATCCCCCTTGGCGACACCCACATCCCCTCAGGGGTGTCCCCCTCTCCGTGGTGACACCCACCTCACGTCCCCGTGCCGCAGGACATTCCCATCCCCACGCTGAAGGCCATCTGCGAGGCCATGAAAACAAACACCCACGTCAAGAAGCTCAGCCTGGTAGCCACCCGCAGCAACGACCCCGTGGCCAGCGTGAGTCCCGGCCCCGTGTCCCCACACGTCCTCAGACAGGGAGGGGACACGGCCCCCGGCTCCCAGCTCCATCCTGGGCACCAGCAAGCCGAGGTGACGGTGGCTTTTCCACCATCACCTGGGGGATTGGTGGCCCAGGACATGACAGAGCGGGGGGTGCCAAGCCTGGGTGACACCCCAAGGTGACGCCCTGAGGTGACACGCAGGCTGTGGCCGAGATGCTGACGGAGAACAAGACCCTGCAGAGCCTCAACATCGAATCCAACTTCATCACCAGCGCTGGCATGATGAGCATCATCAAGGCCATGTACAACAACACCACCCTGAGCGAGCTCAAGGTGGACAACCAGGTAAGGGACAGGCACCCACGGGTGGCCCGGGGAGGGGACAGTGCTGTCCCCAACCTCCCGGTGTGCCTGGTTTCCGCCCCCCCTCTGGCCCCGCAGTGCCAGCGGCTGGGCGACACGGTGGAGATGGAGATGGCCACCATGCTGGAGCAGTGCCCGTCCGTCGTGCGCTTCGGCTACCACTTCACGCAGCAAGGCCCCCGCGCCCGCGCCGCCACCGCCATCACCAACAACAACAAGCTCCGTGAGTGTCCCCGGCGTCCCCTCCCGGGGCAGGAGTCGTGGGGAGGGGTCCCGGCCCTCACACCCCACCCCCCTCTTTCTTCTGCCCTCAGGTCGCAAGCAGAAGAAAACCTAACGCCCCCGCGGCACGGCACGACGACGGAGCTCCAGCTCCTGCTGCCCGGCGCCGCTGTAAATAAAAGAGACGGAGAGACGCGGCTTTGGGATCCGCTCAGAAGCATCCCGGGGCAGGATTGGCACGGGGGGGGGCCGGAATCGGGATCACGGGGATTGCCTGAGGGAGGGAGCACACCCCCCCCCCTGCCTGGCAGGGCTCGAGATCCCATGTTTGCACCCGGTCGTTAATCCACAGGGGCCTGGATCCCCTCAGGGAGCAGCGGCGCTGACGTGGTTATACCCCGGGCACTGGGTTACGGCACCAGGAGGGGTGGGGGGAGAAGGGTAACCCCCCCAACAGGCACCGAGCTGAGCACCCAGAGACTTGGTGGGGGGGGACACAGGGCCTATTTATAGGTCCCACCACCTATTTATAGGTTCCCTCCAGCTACTTACAGGCGCGAGCTGAGCAAGCGGGTAAATCCCGGTGCCCGGGGGAGTGGCATCGCCCCAAGCGGTGCTGCCAGGGAGCCCCCCCCAGGGGAAGGATCGGGCCCCGGGGGCCCAGAAACACCCTTTGGGTGGGTGGCGGGTGCTGTCCCAGGGATGTGGATGCTGGCTCAGGGCCCTGACCCGTTAACGACAGTCCCATCGATGTGGGAGCACCTGCAGGCACCCAAAGCCTGGTAGGAAAAGCAGTGGGGGGGTGGGGGGGTGGAACTGAGGCAGGGGGAGGGCGGCGTGGCCGGGCACCTTCCAAGGTGCTGAGACAGCTGCTGGGGCTGGGGAGGAGGGGGGGAACCCGGCACCGCCACCCCAAAAGGCCACGACCCGCAGGCAGCTGCCAGCGTGCAAGAAAACGAGTGTGACTTGGGCGAGGGATGGGAGGGGACGGGCTGAAACCCACATGGAGGTTGGTGGCGCTCACAGGGCTCTGGCGGGGGTGGGGGGGGACACCCCAAAAAGGCACCAGGTTGAGCATCTCGTGGTGGCAAAACGCTGGGACCCCCAATATCACCCCTCCCCGGGACCTGCCCCAACGGCTCAGACACCTCCGTCCTCTCCAGCTGCCTCTATTAACGGCGGGGCTCGGGGACAGCCGGGGGGAGCGTCCCCGTCCCCAGGGGGGAGCGGTGGGGCAGAGGGGGGCCTCAGGCCGGCAGCAGCACAGGCGGCTCATCCTCGTCAGAATCGAATTCGGCATTTTCATCCTTCACCCACTTGCCGGAGCGGTCCTGGATCCAGCCGGCGCTGGGGACGGACGGACGGACAGACGGGGGGGAGTGAGAGGCAGCTCGTTGTGGGGTTCCCCAAACCCCCAGGGGCGGGGCGGGGGGCGCCGAGACTCACCTCCGCAGCTGCAGGTATCGCTCCAGGGCCTGGCGCCTCTCGGGGCTGAGCGCTTCGGGCCGGCTCAGCGCCGACGATGAGTTTTTTCCTTTGCCACCTCGCTGCGTCCGGGCCGGAGCCGCCTTCGGTGCGTCTGGGAGGGCAGAGAGGGGCTGGTGGAACCCTCCGGAACGGGAGAGGCCCAGGCACCTGGCCCCGCCGGTGCTGGCGCAGCCCCGGGGCCGCCGGCCGGCTCTTACCCGCTCGCCCGCCGCGGTGCCCCGGCAGCAGGGCTGTGGGGCTGGCGTCCACGGCTCCTCCGTCCTCCCGCGACGGCTCCGGCAGCGTCGGGGCAGCGCTCAGCCCCGTTTGGGTGACGCCAGCTCGCGAGCCGCTTCCCTCCACCCTGCGACAAGAGAAGGGATCAGGGCCTCGTCCCACGAACACCCGACGGCGGCGAGGCCACTCCCGAAAGCCCAGAGCTTTCCCCCGTCCCCCCCAGCAGCGAAACCAAAGCTCTTACCCCGTCCTCCGGCAGCAGCTGCTGTAGGGAGCTGCTTTCAGCAGAGCGCTCCGGGCAATCCTCCGCGTCTGTGCCAGAAGAGGGGCCGGGGAGCCCTGGGGAGAGGGGACAGAGTTCAGGGGGGGCGGCCTGGCCGGGGGGGTGGGAAGGGGTTCCGCACCAACCTGCGTGCCTGCCTCCTCTGCCCGCACCTCCTCCTCGTGCTGCTGCTTCTGGACCACGTCCTGGAGCGAGCACTTCTTGCCGTAGAACCGCTGCAGGCCTGGGGGAGGGCGAAGAGGATGAGGATGGGGGGGCGGGGGGGGACACACATGGACACGGACACAGACGCTCGCTCGGCACAGCCCACCCACCCACCCACACACTTACTGCCCGTGTGCTTCTTGCCAGCCCTGTGGACCGTCAGCACGTCCAGCGTGTCGAAGACGGGGCGGTGGGCACACACTGTGCAGGCGTACCTGGGGGGGGGGGTGGAGAGGGGGGAAAGGTGCCGTCAGGACCCCCCAGGCAGCTGGAGCAGGGCGGGGGCTGCGCTCAGGGGTCTCGCTCACCTCCCGCTCCTCAGCAGCAGTGCCTCATCCTCGGGGATGTAGTTGGCCAACAGGTCTGCGACGCGTCTTTTCTGGGAGAGATCGAGGGGGCCGGCTGAGCGCTTGTGCCCCCCCCTCTGCTTGCTGCCCCAAATTAGGGGTGTCTGCCCCTAATTTGCCCCTCAGGGAACTAGCCCTTGCCCCCAACCCTCTTCAACCCCTTCGGCCGGGAAACCTCCTCCCCCAGGGGGGACCCCTCTCTGAGGGAGCGGGGGGGGGGGGTAACGGCGGTGCCAAGGCTGGGGAGGGGGCGGTTGGGGGCAGGTTGAGGCAGGGGAAAGGGGAAATTTGAGGGAGCGGTTTGGGCCAAGAGGAGTATTTGGGGTGCTGGGAAGGGAACCCGGGGGGGGTGGGAGGGGTCAAGAGACAGCAGGAGTGAGGGGGAATGGGGGGGCAGGGGAGGGTTTGCGGGCGGGAGGGGTATTCACAGGCAGGGAGGGTGGGCCGGAACCGGTGAGGGGGGGGCAAGGGGCCGGCCCGGGGTGGTGGTGGGAGGCCGGGGCCAGGGTCGGTGATTTGGGGGGGGGGGGGGGGGGGGGGGGTCGAGGCCCACCTGCAGCACCCCCAGCTGAGCGGGGTCGTCCCCCTCCCGCTTGAAGGACATGGCGGCCGGCCCGCAGTTACCATGGGAACCGCCCCGCCTTCGGGCCGTGACCAACTTCCGGGCGCTTGTTTCCCGGTGGGCTGCGCGCGGGAGCGACGACCAATTAGAGAGCGCGGGAGGGCTCGCCGCGCCCGCCCGGGAGGCCCCGCGGCATGCTGGGAGTTGTAGTTCTACCGCGCCGCCCCCCCCCGCGGGGGATTTAGGGGGGCAGATACCCCTCCCAGGGGCAGACACCACTCCCCCCTCACAGGGGAAGGGACCGGAGAGGACCCCGGTGTGGGGGTGGCGGCATGACTTTCCGCGGGGACGGGCGGAGTGTCCGGGGCTCCCGGACTACAAGTCCCAGAAGCCTCTGCGGGGGCCGGGCCGGGGAGTCAGCGGCCTCACCGGGGCCGGGGGTCGCCCCCGTCAGCGGCGGCCGCGGCGCCGGGGCCCTGGGTCGGTTCCCCCCGCCCGGGCTGGGGCCGTTCGCATGAGTCCCCGCTCCTCCCGCGCCGGCGGGGCCCAGGGCTGAGTGGGGCCGTCCCGCCATGGCGGCGGGGAGCGGGGGAGCGGGGGCCTCCCCCCGGGAGCACCGCCTGGAGCCCGGGGACACGCTGCCGGGGCTGGCGCTGCGCTACGGGGTGACGGTGAGTGGCCGAGGGGAGCGGGGGGGGGGGGGGGCGCGGGGCACGGCCGGGGGGGCCCTGGGGAAGGATCGCCGGGGTAGGGCGGCCCCGGGGCCCCCCGGCAGCCCCCCGGGGCCGCCCCGGTGCCCTGCTGTCCCTGTCCCCTTCCCTCGCCCACCCTGGCCTTGTGGCTGTCCTCCCCCCATCGCTGTCCCCCGCCTTGTCCCCATCCCATCCTTATATCTGTCCTCATCCCCTCACTGTCCTTGTCCCTGTCCCCACCACATCCCCGTCCCCATTTTTATCCCCACCCCAATCTGTTCCCATCTCATCCTTATCTCCATCCCCAACCCCTTGCTGTCCTTGTCCCTGTCCCCACCCTTATCCTGTCCCCATTTTTGTCCCCACCCCATCCTGTCCCCACCCCATCCTTATCCCATCCTTATCCCGTCCCCATTTGTGTCCCCACCCCTCCCCGTCCCCATTTTTGTCCCCAACCCCATCCTGTCCCCATCCCATCTTTATCTCCATCCCCATCCCCTCGCTGTCCTTATCCCTGTCCCCATTTTTGTCCCCACCCTTATCCCATCCCCATTTTTATGCCCACCCCGTCCCCGTCCCTGTCCCCGGCAGATGGAGCAGATCAAGCGCGCCAACCGCCTCTACACCTCGGACACCATCTTCCTCAAGCCCACCCTCCTCATCCCTGTGCCGGCGCAGCCGGGGGGACCCTGCCCCGAGGACAAGGACGAGGACAAGGACGTCCCCTCGGGGGACACCCCGTCTGCCCCGTCCCACCACGACCTCTCGGCCACCGATTTCCTCCGGCGGCTCGACGCCGAGATCGGGCGTTCCAAGGCGGCGGCGGCGGCGCAACGGCTCCGTGCTGGCGGCACAGGGTGAGCGCGCCCGTCCCGCCTCCCCGTTTGGGGCAAAACCGGGGTCTTTCGGGCAGGTGGGTTTGGCCGCAGGGCGGGTGACAAGGCCACCCCTCAGTGCCACCCCGCTGCGTCCCCTGCAGCATGGCCGAGGCCGAAGGCAGCCGGTGCCCCGATGCCGGGGTCCCGCCGGCCCCCCGCGGCCCCCGCCTCGGCCCCCGGCCCCTCACCAGGACCCCGCGGGCGGCCGCCCTCCGCGACGCCGAGGACGAGATCTTCACGCTCTGACGCCGGGGATGGGACGCCGTGACACCCACCCCGTGGGGACGGGGACCCTGGGGCACCCCCGGCGCCCAGCCTCCCCTGCCAGGGGATGCCGGAGGGGACACAGGGATTTTGGGGGTGACACAGTGTCCCTTCCCTGTCTCCTTCGAGGGACCTTTCCCGCTGGAGGGACACGCAGAGCCAGCCCTCTCGCAGGGCGACTGGGAGGGACTGGGAGGAGATTTACCAGCTGGTTTTCCTCTGTTGTATTTATTTGTACGTCTTTGCTCTTGCGGGGGGTGGGACCCCCCCATGCCAGTGCCTGGACCCCCCCCAGGGACAGGGACGGTCACCCCCCCACCCCGAGAGCCTGTAAATAAAATGGAGCACTGTCACCTGGCTCTGCCTGTTTGCCACCCCCTGGAGACACCGTCACACCCCCCTGGGGACACCGTCACCCCCTGGGGATGCTGTCACCCCTTAGGGACACACTCGGGGGTCACCCAGGGGACTGGGTGCCACACCACGTGGTGCCACCAGGTGTCACCCTGAGCCTGCACCCTTGGGACCCCCCCCAGAGCCTCAGAGGGCTCCCCAGGGCCCCCCAGGATGTCCCCAGGGTCCCCTGTGCCCCCCCCGGGGGTGCTGGTGACACAGACCGGAGCCCGAGTGGCAGCTGGATTGGGGGGTGAGCCCAGTAGCTCCCAGTGCCCACTGGGTGCAAACGGCCATATGCTGGTGTGGGAGAGGCGGCAGGGTGACACCCGCAGTGGTGACAGCCAGCCTTGTCGCACACACGCGTGCAAGGGACCCCTTCCCCCCCCCCCCCCCGCGCGGGTATTTGCGCATCGGGCGTGTGTACACGCGTGTGCACCGACACGGGTGGGAGAAGGGGGGGGGGGGGGGGGCGGTGGTGTGAGTGCTCGCGCGCCAGTGTGCGCAGAGCCCCGCCCCGGCGCGCGAGCACCCACGCGGCACTCACCCCGCCGGGCGCAGGGCTGTGCCCGCTCCCACGCGTGTGCGCACACGCGTGTGAAAGCCTCCCTTCCCCCCTCCCTAGCAGCTAATGAGGATTATCTCATTAACGGGGATTAACGCCTAGCCGTCGCGTGGCCCCGGCGGCGGGGGGGGATGGGGTGGGTGTGTGTCCCGGGTGGGGTCCCACGGGGGTCCCCGGTCCCGCCCTCGGCTCCGGCCGCCGGCCGGTCCCGGCCCGTTCCGGGGCGGAGCCGCTCGGGGCCGTTCGGGACCGTTCGGGTCCTTTCGGGTCCGTTCGGGTCCGTTCGGGGAGTGGAGCCGGTACCGAACGCCGAGGGGTCGGGTCGGGGGGGGGGGCTGTTGCGAGGGGTGCTGTGGGGTGTGGGTGGGGTGCTGTGGGGTGTGCGTGGGGTGCTGTGGGGTGTGGGTGGGGTGCTGTGGGGTGTGCGTGGGGTGTCGGGGCGGGAAAAAGGGAGCGTGTTGTGGGGGGGCCGGTGGGGTGTTGGGGCGGGGTGTTCCGGGGGGTTACTTGGGGTGCAGCTGGGGGGGGTGTCGGTGGAGGGGGGGGGGGTGCTGTTGGGGTGTTTGGGGGGGTGCAGGTGGGCGCTGTGGAGCCGAGCGCTGTGCGGGTGTTGTGCCGGGGGGGGGGGGGTGAGTGGGTGTGTGGGGGGGTACTGGGGTGCGCCCAGCCGTGCCCCGCTGCACACGCCGGTGCCGCGAGTGGTGTCCGGGGGCACTGGGGACGCTGGGAGGGGGGCACTGGCAGCAAGTCCCCGCTGTCCCCACGCCCCCCCCCCCCCCCCCGTGCCTCAGTTTCCCCGTGCTGAGATGGGCCCCTCGCAGCCCGGGGGGAGGGGGGTGTCACCCTCAACCCCGCGGCCCCTCCGGGCGCCTGTGCCGATGCCGGGGGTCCCGCTGCCCTTCGTCCTCCTCCTCCTCCTCCTCACCCCGGGGGGGTCGGCGCAGGCCTTCCCGCGGGACCTGGCCCCGCGCAGCACCGTGGGGTTGGCAGGTGAGGCGGGGGCGGCACCGGGGGGGGGGGGGGTGTCCCGGGGCTGGGGGGGGGCCGGCGGGGTGTCACCGCGTCCCGCCCGGCCCCGCAGCCACCGCCGCCTACCCCCGCTTCGGCGGCCTCGGGGGCCCCAACGCCACCGCCCAGCTCGGCCTCGACTTCCAGCACATGCTGCGCCTCAACGGCAGCCTGCTCGTCGCCGCCCGGTGAGCCGCTCGTGAGCGCTCGTGCGCGCTCGTGCACGCTCGTGTGCGCTCGTGCGCGCGTGCGCTCTCTGCTTGGGCACGGTTGGGCCCGGCTGTGCGTGCTTCTGTGCGCTTGGGCACGGTGGTGTGCACGGTCGTGTGCGCTCCTGGGCACGGTTGTGTGTGCTTGTGTGCGCTCGTGCGCGCTTGTGCACCCGTGTGGCCTGTGCTTGTGCACGCTTGTGTGCACTTGTGGTCTCTGCTTGTGCACGGCTGTGCGTGCTTCTGTGCGCTTGGGCACGGTGGTGTGCACGGTCGTGTGCGCTCCTGGGCACGGTTGTGTGTGCTTGTGTGCGCTCGTGCGCGCTCGTGCACGCATGTGGCCTGTGCTTGTGCACACTTGTGCACGCTTGTGTGCACTTGTGGTCTCTGCTTGTGCGGGGTTGTGCGTGCTTGTGTGCGCTTCTGTGCGCTTGTGCTTTGTGCTTGTGTGCGCTGGTGCACAGTTGTGTGCACGGTTGTGTGTGCTTGTGTGCTCTTGTGCGCGCTTGTGGCCTGTGCTTGTGTGCACGCTTGTGAACAGTTGTGCACGGTTGTGCCTGCTTCTGTGTGCTTCTGTGCGCTTGTGCATGCTCGTGTGTGCTTCTGCACACTTGTGGTTTGTGCTTATGCACGCTTGTGCGCGCTTGTGGTCTCAGCTTGTGCGCACTTGTACACGGTTGTGCACGGTTGTGTGCACTTGTGTGCGCTTGTGGTCTCTGCTTGTGTGTGCTTGTGCACAGTTGTGCACGGTTGTGCATGCTGGTGCCCAGCTGTTCCTGTGTATGCTTGTGTGCACACTTGTGGTCTGTGCTTGTGCACGCTTGTGCACGCTTGTGTGTGGTTGTGCGCACTTGTGCAGAGTTGTGTGCACTTGTGTGTGCTTGTGGTCTGTGCTTGTGTTCGCCTCTGTGTGACTGTGCACGCTCGTGTGTGTTTGTCCGCGCTTGTGGTCTCTGCTTGTGCACACTTGAGCACGCTTGTGTGCGCTTGTATGCACTTCCGTGCACTTGTAGTCTGCACACTTGTAGTCTGTGCTTGTGCATGCTTGTGTGCACTCGTGCACGCTTTTGTGTGCTTCTACACACTGCACTCACTCCTCTGTGCACTGCTTCTCGGTGCACACCCGTGTGTGGTTGTGCATGTGCGAGGTCATCCATCCCCCCTTTGTGTGCTTGTACCTGCCTGTGCATACGTGTGCCCGCTTGTACATGCTCGTGCACCCTTCTACGTGCTTGCCCACGCTTGTGCGCCCCTGTGCACGTTTCTAGACGCTCGTGCAAGCTTGCGGGCGCTTGTTCACACTTGCACGAGCTTCAGAGGCTTGTTTGCTCCTGCGCGTGCCTGTCCACGCCCACGCACGCTTACACACGCTGGCACACGCTTGTGCCCGCTTGCACCCGCTCGAGCCCGACGCCCCCTCCCTCCCCCCCGCCTTGCACGCCTGTGTCCCCGCGCCCCCCCCGTGCCCCCTCGCACGCTCACACCCCCCCCAGGGACCACATCTACGCCTTCGACCTGGGGCAGGACGAGGGGACGCTGTACCCCCAGCGGGTAAGGGGGGTCGGGGTCGCCGGCTCCGGGGACACGGGGGGGGCGCGGGGAGGGGGTCCCCGTGCCCACCCCCCCGTGTCACCCGGCAGCACCTCACCTGGGAGACGCGGGACAGGGAGAACTGCGCCATGCGGGGCCGGCTGCAGGTGTGGGGGGCGGGGTGTGGGGTGCCTGGTATGGGGGTACGGGGTGTGGGGTACAGGGTGTGGGGGTGTGGGGTGTGGGGTACCCGGTATGGGGGTGCGGGGTGTGGGGTGTGGGGGTACCCAGCATGGGGGTACTGGGTGCGGGGTGTGGGGGCACGGGGCGTGGGGGTATATGGTAGGGGGGGTATAGGGGGAATGGGGGTGCGGGGTGGGGGGGTACAATGTATGGAGTGTGTGGTATGGGGGTGCAGGGGTGCAGGGTGTGGGGGTGCAGGGTGTGGGGGTACATAGTGGGGGGGTACAGGGTGTGGGGGTGCAGGGTGTGGGAGATAGAAGGGATGGGGGCAAAGAGGGGGCTGGGGGCAGGAGGAGGAGGGGGTGACGGGTCCCCCCCGTGCCCCCCCCCCCGGGTGCCCCCCCGTGTCCCCCCCACGCAGGACGAGTGCCACAACTACATCAGGGTGCTGGTGCCCCGCGACGCCGGCACCCTCCTGGCCTGCGGCACCAACGGCTTCAGCCCCCTCTGCCGCACCTACCAGGTGGGGGGGCCGGGGGGGGGGCGAGTGTGATGAGTTGGGGGGGGCTCAGCCCCCGCTGGGGAGCGCGGGTGGGGTGTGATGAGTTTTGGGGGCTCAGCCCCCGCCAGGGAGCGCGGGTGGGGTGTAATGAGTTTTGGGGGGGGGCTCAGCCCCCGCTGGGGAGCGTGGGTGGGGTGTGATGAGTTGGGGGGGGGCTCAGCCCCCGCCGGGGAGCGCGGGTGGGGTGTGATGAATTTTGGGGGGCTCAGCCCCCACCGGGGAGCGCAGCGGGGCAGTGCCCAGCAGTGTGATGAGCGGGGGGGTCCTCAGCATCTCAGTGGTGCCGGGGGGGGGGGGTTGGGGGGGGGCAGCGGGAGGGTGTGATGAGTGTGTGTGTGTGTGTGGGGGGGTCTCATCGCTTTGGGGATCCCCCCCCCCAGGTGAGCAGCCTGGCGCAGGAGGGCGAGGAGGTGAGCGGCCAGGCCCGGTGCCCCTTCGACGCCAAGCAGAGCGTCGTTGCCCTCTTCATCGGTGGGTGCTCGGGGGGGGGCGGGACACACACACATTGGGGTGCCCTGGGATGGGGGGGGACATGGCTGACACCGCTGTGTGTCCCCCCCCCCGCAGACGGCAGCCTCTACTCGGCCACGGTGGCCGATTTCCAGGCGAGTGACGCGGTGATCTACCGCAGCCTCAGCCCCGGCCGCCCCCCCCTGCGCACCCTCAAGTACAGCTCCCGCTGGCTGCAGGGTACCCCAAAAATGGGGGGGGGGCGGGGGGGGGGGGGAAGGGGGCGCAGGGATGGGGACGAGGGGTGTATGGGGGGCAGTGGGGAGAGGGCGTATGTGGGGGGGTGAGGGGGACGGGCATTGGGGGGCTGGAGGCGGGTAAGGGGTGCGGGGGGTGTATAGCGGCTGGGGGGGACGCGGGGGAGCTGGGATCGGGGGGTACGGGGGGGTGGGGGCTGACGGCCCCCCCCCGCCCCCCCAGAGCCCCACTTCGTCCAGGCGCTGCCCTACGGCCCCTACGTCTACTTCTTCTTCAGGGAGGTCGCGGTGGAGCTCAGCACCCTGGGCAAGGTGGGTGCGGGGGCACCCAGGCACCCACCCCCTGGCACCAAGGTGGGGGAGACCCCAGGGCCCCTCCCCGGGGGCGTCCAGCTGGGTGCTGGTGCCTCCCAGGGTGCTGACACCCATGGGTGCCCACGTGCCAATGCCCACGGAGTCTCCAGCGCCAACAGCCATGAGTCCCCGGGTGCTGACACCCCTGGGTGCCGATGCCCACGGGTCCCTGGGTGCTGACACCCCTGGGTGCTGACACCCCTGGGTGCCGATGCCCGCGGGTCCCCGGGTGCTGACACCCCTGGGTGCTGACACCCCTGGGTGCCGATGCCCGCGGGTCCCCGGGTGCTGACACCCCTGGGTGCTGACACCCCTGGGTGCCGATGCCCGCGGGTCCCTGGGTGCTGACACCCCTGGGTGCTGACACCCCTGGGTGCCGATGCCCGCGGGTCCCCGGGTGCTGACACCCCTGGGTGCTGACACCCCTGGGTGCCGGTGCAGGTGGCGGTGGCGCGGGTGGCGCGGGTGTGCCGCAATGACCGGGGCGGGTCCCCGCGGGTGCTGGAGCGGCGCTGGACGTCCTTCCTGAAGGTGCGGCTGCAGTGCGCCGTCCCCGGCGACGCTGTCTTCTATTTCGACGTCCTGGAGGCCGTGACCCCCCCCCGGGCCCTGCACGGGCGCCCCGCTGTCCTCGCCCTCTTCGGCACCCAGCCCAACAGGCACGGCGGCGGGGACGGGGGGACGCGGGGACGGGGGTGGCCAAGGGGACGTGGGGCTGTAGGGAGAGGGGAGCGCGGCATGGGGGGACGGGGGGACAGGAGAGATGGGGACATGGGGGTGCCACTCACCTGGGGACATGGGGACATGGGAAGGGCAGACGTGAGGGTGCACTGATAGGGGGACACAGGAGGTGGGGACGTGGGAGAGACACGGGGACGTGGGGATGCACTGACCTGGGGAAGTGGGGACGTGGGAGGGACAGACATGGGGATGTGGGGATGCCACTCACCAGGGGACACGGGGACGTGGGAGGGACAGACATGGGGACGTGGGGATGCCACTCACCAGGGGACACGGGGACGTGGGAGGGACAGACATGGGGACGTGGGGATGCCACTCACCAGGGGACACGGGGACGTGGGAGGGACAGACATGGGAACGTGGGGATGCCACTCACCAGGGGACACGGGGACGTGGGAGGGACAGACATGGGGATGCACTGACATGGGGACATGGGGACACGGGGATGGGGACACGGGGATGGACTCACCGGGGGCCATGGGGACACAGTGGGACAGGACACAGGGACGCAGGGACAGGGGAACAGGGAGCGGGGACAGAGCGGGGCCCAGGCAGGACACGGGGGGGGCTCTGGCCCAAACCGGTGCCCGACCCGGCAGCCCCGGGAGGGGACAGGGGTGTCCCCAGTGCCGGTGCCACCCCCCGCCACCACCGCAGCATCCCCGGCTCGGCCGTCTGCGCCTTCTACCTGGCTGACGTGGAGCGGGCGTTCGAGGGACCCTTCGCCGAGCCCCGCGGCGCCGCTGGCACCTGGACCCCGGTGCCCGAGGACAGGGTGCCCCGACCCAGGTACCCCCCGGCTCCGACGCCTGGGTGGCCCCCCCCCCTCCCCTGGGGGCGCGGCGGCCACCCGGACACCTGGGTCCCCGCTCCGGCTGTGCCGCAGGCCGGGCTGCTGCGCCGGGATGGGACCGGCCGCCGGCGTCGTCACCTCCGGGGACTTCCCCGACGAGACGTTGGCCTTCGCCAAGGAGCACCCGCTGCTGCACGGCGCCGTGGCACCCGCCGGCGGGCGGCCCCTCTTCACCCGCACCGGCACCCGGTGAGCCCGGCGGGGGGGGCACCGTGGCCTCGGGGATGGGCGGCCCTGGGGATGGGTGGCTTTGGGGACAGGGTGGCTTTGGGGACAGGGTGGCCTCGGGGATGGGTGGCTTTGGGGACAAGGGGGTGTCTCATGCGAGGAGGATGTGGGTGCGCAGTGGGGTGAGGGGTGCACCCAGCCCTGTGGGTGGGGTGGGTCCTCGTGCAAGGTTCCTCTGCAAGGATGCACAAGGCCCTGGTGCAAGGGGCGTGCAAGGCTACGTGAGGGCGTGCGAAGCCCTGGTGCAAGGGGCGTGTGCAGCCCTGGTGCAAGGGGCGTGCGAAGCCCTGGTGCAAGGGGCGTGTGCAGCCCTGGTGCAAGGAGCGTGTGCAGCCCTGGTGCAAGGGGCGTGCGAAGCCCCGGGGCGATGCCGTGCGGGGGTGTGTAAGACGCGGGTGCGAGGGCCCCCGGCGCGAGGGTGTGTAACAGCGTGCGAGGCCCCGGTTTGCAAGCGTGCGCGAGGGCCCCGTGCAGGGGGGTGCGAGGCCCCGTGCGAGGCCCCGTGCGAGGCCCCGTGCGCTGGGCGCAGGCTGACACAGCTGGCAGTGGACACGGGTGCGGGGCCGCGGGGGAACCAGACCGTGCTCTTCCTGGGCGCCGAGGACGGGCGGGTGCTGAAGGTCCTGGCGGCCGCGCAGCACCCCGGGGTTACCCGGCACCCCAGCGGCACCCCGGCACCCGGTGCCAGCCGCGAGCCCGGGGACACCGGGGACACTGGGGACACCGGGGACACCGGGGACACCGGCTCCGAGACGCTGCTGCTGGAGGAGATCAGCCTCTACGACCCCGGGCGGTGAGTGCCGGGCACTGGGTGCCCGGGGCTGGGGGTGCTGGGGGACTTGGGTGCTGGGGGGGCACATTGAAGCTGTGGGTGCTGTGGGGCTCATGGGCACTGTGGATGCTGGGGGGTGCTGGGGGGCTCATGGGCACTGTGGGTGCTGGGGGGTGCTGGGGGGCTCATGGGCACTGTGGGTGCTGGGGGGTGCTGGGGGGCTCATGGGCACTGTGGGGCTGGGGGTGCTGGGGGTGGCACGTTGAGGCCGTGGATGCTGGTGGGTGCTGGGGGTAATGGGCACCGAGGGGCTCTGGGTGCTGGGGGGGCACATGTTGAGGCTGGGGGTGCTGGGGGGTGCTGGGGGGTTCATGGGCACCGTGGGGCTGTGGGTGCTGGGGGGCTGTGGGCACTGATGGGTGCAGTGGCAGTGTGGGTGCCGTACGGGTGCTGGGGGGGGCCGTGCAGGTGGCACAGGGCATTGATGGGTGCTGGGGGGGGGGGCTGATGGGTGCCATGGGGCCACGCGGGAGCTGCAGGGCCCTGGGGGTGCTGGGGGGTGCCGATGGGTGCTGCGGGGCGCTGCGGGGTGCTGTGGGCGCTGGGGCGGGGGGGCGGTCACGACGGGTGCTACGGGGGGGGCGTGGGGGTGCAGGTGCCGAGGTCCCCGGGGTGCCAGCCGGGTGCTGGGGCTGGAGCTGCACCCGCCGGGCCGGGAGCTCTACGTCGCCTTCGCCGGGTGCCTGGTGCGTCTGCCCCTGAGCCGCTGCGCCCGGCACGGTGCCTGCCGCGGGTGAGCGGGGGCACGGGGGCGTGTGAGGGCACAGGGGGGTGCGAGGGCACGGGGGTGTGTGAGGGCACGGGGGCGTGTGAGGGCACAGGGGGGTGCGAGGGCACGGGGGTGTGTGAGGGCACAGGGGCGTGTGAGGGCACGGGGGCGTGTGAGGGCACAGGGGGGTGCGAGGGCACGGGGGTGTGTGAGGGCACGGGGGCGTGTGAGGGCACAGGGGGGTGCGAGGGCACGGGGGTGTGCAAGGGGAGCATGTGAGGGCACGGGGGGGTGTGAGGGCACGGGGGTATGCGAGGGCACGGGGGCATGCGAGGGGAGCGTGTGAGGGCATGGGGGGGTGCAAGGGCATGAGGGTGTGTGAGGGTACAGGGGTGTGCGAGGGGAGCATGTGAGGGCACGGGGGGTGCGAGGGCACAAGGGCGTGCAAAGGGAGCACACGAGGGCACAGGGATGTGCAAGGGGAGCGTGTGAGGGGAGCGTGCCAGGGCATGAGGGTGTGCAAGGGCACGGGGATATGTGAGGGCACGGGGGCGTGCGAGGGCACGAGGGGGCGTGAGGGCGCAGGGGTGTGCAAGGGGAGCGTGCGAGGGCATGAGGTGTGCGAGGGCATGAGGGTGCACGAGGGGAGCGTGCAAGGGCACAGGGGTGTGCGAGGGGAGCGTGCAAGGGCACAGGGGCATGCGAGGGGAGCGTGCAAGGGCACGAGGCCATGCCAGGGCACGGGGGCGTGCGAGGACACGGGGATGTGTGAGAGCACAAGGGCGTGTGAGGGGAGCGTGCGAGGGCACGGGGGGGCGCAGGGGCAGCTCCAGCACCCCGGCGCCTGGGTCCCACCGCGCAGGAGCTGCCTGGCCGCCCGGGACCCTTACTGCGTCTGGCTGCCCCCCCGGGGCTGCGTCCCCTTCTCCGAGGACCTTCCGTAAGTGTCCCCCTAGCTTCGGGGGGCTCCCCCCACCCCCCCTGATCTCCTGGGTCCCTCTTCCTTGGGGGTGGGGACAGTGGGGACGGTGGGTGACGTCTCCTCCCCCCTCCACACACACCCCATGTGCCCCAGGAGCGGCTTCGAGCAGGACGTGGAGGGATCCTCTGGGATCACGGGGACCTGCCAAGGTGAGGGGGGGGACACGGGAGTGTTTGGGGACATAGAGGGTCGCTGTGGGATCCTCTGGGGACGACGAGGTCATGGGGAGATCCAGGGTGATACCGGGGGCCCCGGGACACGTGGGTGGCACTGGAGGATGTGGGGGATGTTGGGGGGACGGCGGTGGCCCCAGGTGACGCGGGTGGCCTGGCCTGACCCCCCCCTTGCTCCCACAGACGCACCAGCCGCGGGGGACAGGGACTTGGCCCATGGTCAGTGACACCCCATCTGTCCCCCCCACCCGGACCCCCCCGTGGGAGGGACCCTGCAGACCAGGGAGGGACCCCTGGGCTGGGAGAGGGACCCCAAGGACCGGGGAAGGGACCCTGGGGTTGGGGGGGACCCCCGGGGACAGGAGAGGGACCCCAGGGGTGGGAGAGGGATCCCAGAAAGCAAGAGGGACCCTGGGGAGGGGGGGGGACCCCCAGGGCCCAGGAGGGACCCCAGGGACAGGAGGGGGACCCCAGGGGTGGAAAAGGGACCCTGGGCACCAGGTGGGAACGCAGGGGTAGACCCCAAGGAGCGGGGAGGGGACCCTGGGGAGGGGACCTTGGGGAGGGGGGGAGACCCCAGGGGTGGAAGAGGGATCCCAGAAAGCAAGAGGGGCCCTGGGGAGGGTCAGGGGGGACCCCCAGGGCCCAGGAGGGACCCCGGGGACAGAAGGGGGCCCTGGGGTGGGTCAGGGGGGACCCCCAGGGCCCAGGAGGGACCCCGCGGACAGGAGGGGGCCCTGGGGTGGGGGGACCCCAGGGCCCAGGAGGGACCCTGGGGGGGTCCAGGCCCCCCGCACGGGTGCCGGGCTGACGGGTGCTCCCGCAGGGGTGCGCCAGGCCGGGCTGGGGGCCACGGTGCCGGTGCCGGTGCTGGTGGGCTGCGTGCTGGGCGCCTTCGCCCTGGGCGCCCTGGGTGCCGGGCTGCTGGCAGCCTGCTGCCGCCGCCCTGCCGCCCCCAAGGGACCCCCGGAGCCCCCCGCCGCTCTGCAGCCCCCCGGCCCCCGCCTCTACCCCCCGCTGCCACCCCCGGGAGGGGCCGGGGGCCCGCGGGACCCCCCCGAGCTGCCCACCCCCGAGGCCACCCCGCAGCCACCCAGCAAGACGCCCCGGGAGCGGGCGACGGAGCCCCGGCGCGGCCAGACCCCCCATCCCAGCACCCCAGGGTGCCCGGAGCCCCCAGGCCCGGGACCCCCACCCAAGGCCGCCCTGGAGGAGCTGCTGCAGCGGGTGCACGGGGCGGGGGGCTCGGGGTGGCCGGTGGCCCCCCCGGGCAGCGGTTCCTTCGCCAGCCTGCTGCGGCCGGGCGCCCCGTTGCCCAGCCTCCCCCCGGCCCCCCGCGACGGGACGCTCCGGCGGCTGGACGTGCCCCCCGACAGCCCCCCCCCGCCCCGGCGGCCCCTGGCACAGAGACACTCGCTGGGGGGGGCGCCCGCCAGACCGCCCGGCCCGGCCCGGGGGCTCACCCGCATGCACTCGCTGGGGACCCCGGGGGGGCCGCCCTGGGGGCCCCAGCCGCGTCCCCTCGCCAGCAAGCCCCCCGTGCTGCCCAAGCCCCTCCCCGTGCCAGCAGCCCCCGGGCGGCCCTGAGCCCCCCCCGGCGGGGACACGGGGACGTCCTGGTCCCCAGCACCCATGGGACCCCCCTGCTGCGGCTGGCGGGGGGGGCCTGAGCCAGCCCCTGCCAGGGTCCCAGCTCTGTGCCATGAGGGTCCCCGTGTCCCCAGGCTGGCCCCCATGGGGGGGGGACGGGGGTCCCCGTGTCCCCAGGCTGGCCCCCATAGGGGGGACAGGGGCCCCCATGGGGTGACAAGGGTCCCCGTGTCCCCCAGCCATCCCATCTCCCTGTCCAGGGTGATGAGGCTCCCCATCTCCCAGAGCTTTTTTGTTTCGTTTTGGTTTTTTTTTTTTTTGATTGTTTCTAATTTATTCGCTGCTCTGGGGGTCGTTGGAGCCACAGCCCCCCCCCCCCCCCAGGGACACCAGGCAGGGGACACGGTGGCTCTCTGTGCCACAGCTGGGCTCGTCCTACCGTGTAGGACCAGGGCTCAGCCCCACACCCATTAAATCCGTGGTCGCTCCACCACCAGTGCCCGCCTGGCTCTGTCTGGGGTGAGGGGGGGACAAGGGAGGGGGGGGGACAAGGTGCCACCAGACCCCCGAGCCCAGCTTGGGGACAGGGGGGTGGCCGTGGGGTGTCCCTGCAGACGGTGGCACGTGAGATACTGGAGGACGTGAAAGGGCTGGCCCCCGGGGAATGAAAAGCTGCTCACTGTGGCCAGGGTATTTTATTAAGAAATCGTACAAAAAAAAAAAAAAAAGTATAAATGTCAAAATTTTGGCATTTCCAACCCTCTACCCTCTGTAAAAGGGGGCCCAAGCGCTTGGGTCAGCACCGCAGGGGAGCTGCCGCCGGGAAGCGGGACTTGACCCCGCACTGAAGACCCCGGCACCGCGCCTGGCCCGGGGAAAGCAATCTGATCAAGGCGAGATTACCGAAATAATGCGATTCGGCACCAAGAAGGGCCCCGGGGTGGGGCGGGAGGGGGGTGCGGGGAGGAACAGCCCCCGCCCAGGGCTGTGGGGACCCCCGCCACGCTGCGCTCGGCGCCGGGCTCCGTTATTCCCCTTGGTGGGCGCTGGGAAAGGATTGAGTTCCTCCTCCGCGCATCCCCGCTGGCGCCGCGGGGCAAGGGGAACCCTGCAGAGCTGCCAACGCGAGGGAAAGAGGCGTCTAATGAACCCCCAAAAGGGGGGTTAATTAGCGCCACGCCACCTCCTCCCCCGCGGAGGAAAGCCGCGGCGCGGCGGAGCCCGGCCCAGCGCCCGTGGGAGGTTCCGTACCCGGCGCTGCCACGGCCGACTGCGCCCGACCCGAAAACTGCTGGTCTTAGCTTAAAAAGCTCCAACTCCTTTCTCTGGAGGAGCAGAGGATGCAGCCGGGTTGAAATTCTTTCTGCGTGCTGGGCGGAGATCAAATTCTCCGCGCCTTTGTTCAGACCCCGGCCGCGAGCCCTTCTAAAAATAAAACGGACGTGCGATCCCCCCCGCCCCAGGCGAAGCACTAACACTGGCAGCTTTATTTGTTCCAACTCGACAAACCAAATCCCCTTACCCTGAGCACCACGGAGCTGTTTTTTTTTTTTTTTTTTTCCCTCCTCTCCTGAAGGGGAAGTTTGTTTCCCAGCTGAAGGGACTTTTTGGCAAAGCTGAGCCTTTTCAGGGGAAGGATGGAAATAACTGAGAAGCGCCAGTGCTGTGGAACACACAACACAGTGTTTGTGCACACTACAGCTGCCGAGCTCTGCAAATTTACAAATAATAAGCACAAATTTCAGGCAGAACGTAAAAGCCGAAGTTGACAGTGTCCCTTTACATCGGTAAACGCTTCCGGGTATCAGAAGAATCTGCTTGGATTTACTTTAATACTGTCTCGAACCCTCCGACACAGGTTTTCAGTTCAAACAGACCCAAACTGTCAACGTTCTGGGGAAAAAAAGAAAATAACGTGTGCTCAAAGTCAGCGAGGGAACGGCGAAGCAATCAACAGCCAGGAACCGAGTCTCTCCAAACACTGATTCATAAAAAATTATTATTAAAGCCTTCTTCAAAATATCTTTTGGAAAAAAAGATAAAAAAGTCTTATTTATAAATATAGCTACACTGGTTATAAATAAATGCACTTTGATTCTCCAAACCCCGTGAGTCTCAGGAACAGAAGCAGGCACATGAGGCTTCCTGAACGCAGCCAGCAGAACGCTGCCCATTTCGGCAGATCCCCCCCTCCCTTCAGGCCCAGCCGCCAGGGACCGACCCATCTCAGGCGGAAAAGCAGCTTCCTCTTGGGGTGAGAAACGCCTTGGGAGCCACGGCCGTACTGTCCTAGCTCTGCGAGCCCACTGGTCCTTGCTGCATCCCCAACACCACGATACGCGCCGATCATCGGCCAAGAAACGGTAACAAAGGCAATAACCAAGAGAAAACTGTATTATCTGGACACACACGGGTGGAAATAACTGGGAAAAATGCAATGCAAGGACCATAAGATCAAATTATTGCCTTGAATCCTGCCAACAGTTACAAAACCAGGACAAAAAAAAGACCCCAAACCCATGAACTATGGGCCGTAAGAGCTAGGGATTTTTATCCTGCAAGAGATATTCTCGGGGAGCAGGCCAGCTGCCAGGGCTCAGACCTGCAAGGCACTCCTCGCCCTTAAAACCCTTCTGCGGCCAACGGCGCTTTGCGTGATGGTATTTTTCTAACCGTCACTTGATAATTTTTCATTATCAAGTTCCACACAATTACTCAGGGTCCTTCCAACCAGTTCCCTGCTGTCTCGAAACCCACGATCCACCGTACTAAATGGATCCCTGCATTAAACAGGCCTGCAAAGAGTAACAAAAATAGGAACGTTTCAGTAACAAGATCAGCTGCTTATTAAAAAAGGTTTTAGTATCTTTAAAAACTGTTTAGTAAAAAAAAGTGACATGTTTGTCATAAAATGCTTTGGGTTGGGAGGGACCTCAAAGCCCCCCAGTGCCCCCCCCTGCCCCAGGCAGGGCCCCCTTCCCCCAGCCCAGGGGGCTCCCAGCCCCGTCCAACCTGGCCTTGAACCCTTCCAGGGAGGGGGCACCCACAGCTGCTCTGGGCACCCTGGGCCAGCGCCTCACCACCCTCACATTAAACAATTTCTGCCTCAGAGCTCACCTAAATCCGCCCTTTTTCGGTGCAAAACCATCCCCCCTCGTCCCATCCCCACCCCCTGACCCAGAGTCCCTCCCCCACCTCTCCTGCCCCCCCTTTAAGCCCTGGGAGGCCGCTCTCAGGGTCCCCCCAGAGCCTTCTCTTCTCCAGGCTGAACCCCCCCAACTCTCTCAGCCCGGCCCCCCAGGGGAGCTGCTCCAGCCCCCCCAGCATCTCTGTGGCCTCCTCTGGCCCCGCTCCAGCAGCTCCGGGTCCTTCTGCTGTTGGGGGCCCCGAGCTGGCCCCAGCACTGCAGGGGGGTCTCCCCAGAGCGGAGCAGAGGGGGAGAATCCCCTCCCTGGCCCTGCTGCCCCCCGGCTCTGGCTGCAGCCCAGGGCACGGGGGGGTTCTGGGCTGCCAGCGCACGGTGCTCCCTCAGAGGGGCAGTTTTCCCCCCACCAACCCCCCCAGTCCCTCTCCTTGGGGCTGCTCTCCAGCTGCTCCTCGAGGGCCCAGCCTGGGTTTGTGCTGGGGATTGCCCCGGCCCACAGGCAGGCCCTTGCCCTTGGCCTTGCTGAACCCCATGAGGTTTGCTCGGTCCCCCCTCTCCAGCCTGCCCGGGTCCCTCGGGGTGACATCCCTGCCCTCAGCGTGCCCCCCACCACACAGCTCGGGGCCATCGGGGCACTTCCTGAGGGGGCCTCGATCCCACTGTCCGTGTCCCAACAAAGATGGGAAACAGCACCGGGCCCAGCCCCGACCCCCGAGGAACGGCGCTCGTCCCCGCTCTCCTCTTAGCCATCGAGTCCTTGACTGCGACTCTACGAATGCAACCAGCCAGCCACTTCCTTACCCACCAAGGGCTCCGTCCCTCAAACCCATGCCCGTCCAATCTAGAGACAAGGATGTCGTGCGGGACAGCGTTAAATGCTTTGCACAAGTCCAGGTAGACCATGACAGTTGCTCTTCCCTTATCCCCCAGCGCCGTGACCCCGGCGTAAAGGCCACCAAATTCATCAGGCAGGATTTGCCCTTGGTGAAGCCATGCTGGCCGTCGCAACCATCTCCTGATTTTCCACGTGCCCCAGGAGGATGAGCTCCAGAGCAGGATCTCCAGAGACAACTCGACTCCCAAGCTGTCTTGCAGCAACCGCCGTTCGTCTAGTTTTGCTAACGCTACTGTTCAGCGCCAACGTGTCAAACGGAACATTCGGCAAAATACCATAAATTTGAGGTGGAATTTTTTGCGATCCCTTTTGGTAGTTAAGGGGAGGAGCTCCCCCAAATTGTTTCTGAAACAAAGAGGGCGAAGCATGGTACTCCCCAGTATCATGAAATGCTCCAGCTGACAGACACTCAGCCCGGCCTTCGCTCTTGCATTGAAGGTTGCCTCAATCAAAAATTCATGGTTTTGGAAGAAGAAGAATTTGTAATTCACTTTCTGGCTGAAATGGGAAATCCCCTCTGCAGCTCTGAAGATGTTAAAGCAACACCTCAAGAGACTGCTTTTTCTGAAGGTCCAGATCCGGTCACTTGACTTCGCAGAAGGGAGCGGACACCTCCAGTTATTGCAGAAAGTCTGTTTTCAGTGCTGTAATTCCCAGGCAGCTGAGCGCTAATACCAGCTGCTTTGGCAATGAGGTATTTCTTTTCCACTCCCCAACAATGCAGGTATTGACATCACCAAATAAGCCATCAGATCACCTACTGGCTAAAATTTCATTAAAAAGCTTCCAATCTCTTAAGGTCAAGCTTTAAAAGCACCTTTCGGCACCGTGCTAAAAGCAGAGTTGTGCTGTGAGCGGCTGGAGAAGCTTCGACCCCCGGCGATGGGGTGGCTTTGCCAACAGCCCTCTGCTCTCAACACCGCTTGCCAGCAGCACCTTGTTTTAAAAAAAAAAAAAAAAAAAAAAAAAAAAAAAAAAGTTACTTTCCTTCAAAAAAACTCAAGTCTGTCACCAAGGATTAGGAGGTTACAGTTTCCACAGCGATATCAGTTGGCTGATCCGTTTCCAGCATGGACAGCACGCACTCCTTGATGTCTTCTGAGGTGCCCACGAGCGGGTCCACCTCGGCGACCTCCTCGAGCACCGCCACCCCGGTGCCGTTGGGCTGCTGCCTCGCCATGGCCGCCAGCTTCAGCCGGTACTCCTCCGCCTCTCGCTCCTTCTTTCGGAGCTGGCTGCGATATTCCTGAGCCTTCCTGTTCGCCTCTTGCAACTGCTGCTGCAGCGCTTCCCTCTCGACGCTGCTGCCCTACAGAAAACAGAGGTGAGAGAGCCCACGATGGAGGCCCAGTCTGCGACACGAAGGAAGCGGGGTGTGCAAGCGCTCCAAGAGTTCCGAGTCCCAAAAGCAAAATGCTCCAAGGCGGCGCCAGAAGGTGCTTGGGCTGAGTTCTGC